TAAAGGAGGTTTAAATTCTTTTATATTTTTAATTTGAGTACAAGAAAAGCCATACTATAAAGGGGGACACAATGCTTAAGCCAACATGTGCTACCAAGTGCTCAATCCTACACATATACCCTCAGTTTCACAGCCAAGATAGCCAACACTTCACTCTTACCCTTGCTGTCTTGCCTGGTGCGGCAGTGCCGCATATGAAGAGAGACACTGCCGCAGAGTGGCATTGCCGCACTTGAGCCGCGGCACTGCTGCGATTTAAATGACCGTTGGGGGCTAGGGGGTATTTATACCTTTCCCCTTCCTCCCCAACGTCTCTCTCTTCTTCTAACCTGTTCAGTTTGACCAAAACACAGCAGAGTGCTATTCTCTATCTCCTCCATTGGTGACCTTGAGCTCCCAAGCTTCTACATTGATTTCTCCATCAATCCTTGAGAAAAAGGTCTCAAACTCGATTAGAGAGCTGATCCTTTGATTCCCCAACTCAAAAGAGCAATCGGTTCATGTTTTGACCGACGGTTGTGTTTATTACTCTTGGAGCTTTGCTCCTAGCCGGCTAGAGCGTCGCCCGTGGAGCTTGCCAACTTGTGTGACAGCCCCGGGAGGTTTGTAACCATCTCTTGAAACTAGTAAACTCACCCCTCATCTCAAGAGTTGAGTCTCTTGACTTGAGAACAAGGAAGGGTTACAAAGCTCTAAGCCTTAGTGACTAACCTCAATAACGTGGACTTAGGCAAGCCTTGGCGGCGAGCTAAACTATGGGATAAATCATCGTGTCACCTTGTGCTTGATTTACATCATTTGCATTTCATATTGTTGTTGAGGTGATTTCTAGGGTTTGTGGCTGATCTACTTATGTGTGGTGTTCCTATTATTTTATAGCTGTTGATCTATGTTACATATACCTGCAAAAAGCTCAGTAATTTATCCGATTCAAGTTTCCATTTATAGTTTTTGAATTGTGCCACGAAGTTGTCTGTAGGTGCGGCAGTGCCGCTGTTCTGGCTCGGCAGTGCTGTGGGCATAGAGCGGCAGTGCCGCATGTTGAATTTGATGAAAGTTTGAGTGTTTGTTTTAACAAGTCTATTCACCCCCCTTCTAGATTAACCAGAGATCCTACAGAATGTCACCTGGATCAATGACATGGCGCCGAAGTAGCCCCTACTCCACCTCCACCTATAAATACCCCCTAGACCCTCACTCTCAACTCATGACACATTGGAGGAAACTACTCTATCTTTAGATAGGAAGCCAAGCTATAGTAGTAGTGCTATCAGAGGGAGAGAGTGAGGGGAGTGTGGAGAAGAGCCTGGCCTATCTAGTGTCTAACAACTGCAGATGCAAATGATGAGGCATTGGGCTGTTAATCAACATTGTTATATATTTTTGTCATTGGATACAACGAACATAGACACGTAGAGAGAGGAATACATTTTTGAACACAGACACGTAGAGAGATGAATACATCTTCATCACTCTAAAAGAAAGAAATACATAGTTATAACTCCACGCGCACTTGGGAATATATAAGCTTCAGTACTAGCAGTCTATAAACTTAACTGCTATACTTACGTAGTTTTCCTTCTGAAGCAACTAACTAGAACAACCAACTTGTACTTGCCTCGGCCGCCTCAAGAGATCCACAACAAGTGCCTGCTCCGCGTTGGTGATCCCAGTATAAGTTTTCAGATCACCACTTTCATTGTTGTCAGGCCATATTCCCTCTCTGTCACATCTCCATAAGAGGTCTGATATTATTAGGCAATAGTTCATATAGGCCCTGTTCGCTTCGCTGAAAAAACAAGCCGAAACACTGTTCCAGCTGAAAAAACAAGATGAAAAGTACGGATTATAAGATAAGCGAACAGGGCCATAACTGCCTTGCTCTTTAGTGAGGTACGTCTCCGTCTCCCACCGCTCCTCGCTGAATTATTCACGGATCACTCGGAATCTTAAGGCTTCAAGAAACATTATCATGTTTTGAACCATGGCTGTCCTAATTTTAGAGGTTTTAGTAATACCTTGCCTCTAACGAGCAAGCATTCACACAGCTTTCAACTCCACTTCTTCCCTAGGGGTACCCTGACCAGGTTCTTACTACCACCCTCTACGAGGAGGGGATACGACTCACCCCATTCTTCACCATCAAGATTCAAGACGGGAATAGGTGTTCATACCCCCTGAATGCAGCAGGTGCCTTCATTATTCACGAAAGACAGGAGGTACAAGTCATTGTCGCTAAATATAAGTGTGGTTCTGTCCTCGTTGGTTTCGCCCCGGAGGGGAACCCTTATCCACCTCCTCGATGACGAGCCATCACCTTTTTGTCGAGACGCTCGTAGTCCTTAGTCGTCCCTAAGTAAAGATGGCTTTTGCATTCTAGTTTTGGAAGGTAGCCGCTAATACTGTTGCACGTACGATGAGAAATATTTCCGCATGAGTACATGTAGTCATGTCGAATCTTTAGTCGTAACCTCATCACGTAGGTAACGAGATTGGACGAGGGTAGCAAGCGCCAGGATCCATACCATGACGAGGGGGATGGTGGTGCCTGCTACCGTGCGGTGCTGGAACAAGGAACAACTCCGCAAGTCGTTCTCCCGCGTCATGGCATCCTTCATGGCGGGCTGGTTGCTCTTCCTGCTAGAGCATGATTTCTAGGCCCTCTTGACGGAGCGCTTATTGGTTGCGGCACCTGTCATCTTGAGAAGAAGACTTGCGCCGCCTGCGCAATGCTCCGGTCGACGCCCGAATGCAAGGGAGATAAAGGGACATATTCAAGGTGCCTGGTTAAAAGAAACGAAAGGGTGTTGATAGCGTGTGAGATTAAATTATGGTACCTAAGCAAGTAATTGAAAGAAACGAGAAGGGCATGAGAAAGGCGGTTGAATAACGCTGTACGAGTGATCATAAGTGTTGAAGTGTGTGAGCTGCCTGGTGAAGGGACAGCATGCATACCATGCAGCAACATAATAGTTGCACTTCAGCACTTGTTCGCCGCCTGCCCCCATTCACCCTCCGCCAATTAGTAATTTGCTGATAAATGGTGCCCGGGTATACTTTTGCGACTAAATTAGTAACTGCAGAAGAAACATGCCCCTCGCACGGCTCCATCTAGGAAGGTATACTATTGCGACTAAATTATTAATTTTTGTTTGGTTTGTTTATCATTTTTTTGCCACTTTGTTCATATGGATGTACCTTTTTTCAAACAATATTCCATTACATTCTTACCATAATGGTTCCTTATTTCCACTCTTTTTTATTAATTAGCACTTATTTTGAACAATTACACAAGTCCTTTCTCTCCTTTCTACGGCCCAAATAGCAAAAGGTTACCAAATATCTTCATGTACCAACTGTTCGATATGCGCCTTCGAGTTTCAACTCATTTATTCATCTCCTCACCGTGAGGCAGCGTACCAGATTCAATAAGGGGGCGTTTGGCTCCCTTTATTTTAGAGAAATTAAAATCTACTTATTGGATTAGGCTATTTTGCTTGGAATTTGGTATTTCACAACTTTTTCAAGCTCACAAATAAACCTATCTCAAATTCATATGGTGGAAGATGTAAATGGATTATATAGATCACTATGCTATATTTATACTCTCTAACTTATAGCATATTTTTCAACTTGCTTTCCGAAATGCAACATATAAAGTACTGCCTCCGGGCAACTTTTTAGGCGCTCTCACTTTTTTCGTATAGGCAGGTACTCCCTCTGTCCCAAAATAAAAGACGTTTTGGGTTTTCGTGCCACAAGTTTGACTCGATTTGTAGAAAATACGTGCAATATTTATATCTTCAAATAAATTTGTTAAAAAACTAGACAAAAAGATCTTTTCGATGATACTAATTACTTAGCATAAATATTTATATATTTTAATATATAATTGCCGGCAGTCGTTTCTCGGGAAGCGAGAACGTCTTTTATTTTGGGACGGAGGGAGTATGTGACATTGCAGCTATATCTAGACGAATATCTCCTCAAATCTCACTGGCAGTAAATATGCACGTTGTTGTTTTCTTACTGGTGCTAGTTGTTGGGCGCTTCGCGCGAGCCAATCATCAGGAGTGAGGAGTAATGGTGCATGCATGCATACATGAAGTTGCCTAGATTAATGTCGCAAGATTTATTCTCTAGCTATACACACGTACTCTTTGCTCCATGGTAGTCGGGAGTCATCTTCTCACGCCTAAAAAAGCTGCCCAGAGGATATGTCTCTGGTATGGTTAACAATAATGGCCCTGTTTGTGTGCCCTTAAACCCGACTTGATCCGTTTTTTTTTTATCCGGAACAATATTTTTCTCTCACAAATTCCTCCAACATTCCTCCAAACCATCCAAATTTCTCCAGAATTCCTCCAAGCGAACAGGTCCAATATACAAGTATATTTCATATAAAACCGTATTAGCATAATTATTCTATGACTAAATTATAATTATTAGAATAAATTCAATTCCAATAATCTAAACGGCCCTAATATGAATTTTGGTGGCCTCCTCCAGATCCGAGCAGACAAGCTAGTTAGCAGAGAAATGTTGAAGTATTTGTATGATAGGCTAGACCTTGTAACTATGGTATTGGATCTTGGTAAAGATAGGGTTATACATATCAACCCTTTTGTTGTTAAGCAAGCCTTTAATTTGGCATTCCGGACAGTGGCGAAGAATCATCTCTACACACAATCCAGGAAGGATGCAAGGCCTTGACTGATTTCAAGGATTTTTATTGGTTTACAAGAAGCTGAGGATATGGCTGATGGAGTGATCGAAGAACCGCTACGGTAAGATTCTGTCAGAGCTAACAAAGAGGAACTTATACATTGTTAACCTATACAAATTACAATGACCAAACGGGCTCTAAAGTCTAAACACACCAGCTTCGCGCAAGTCCCGACTGGCACACAGAAAACCGGGCCCCAAGCAACGTACGCACGCTAGCTGTACAGTACATGTACAGCCCGTACGGCACGCTAGCTGCAACTGCAAGCGCAAGGTCACTGTCCCTGTCCGTCCCGCGGCGCTGGCACTGGCTGCCCCAGCGCCAGTGTGGCCGTGTCCTGCCACAGCCGCGCCTCCATCTCCTTCTCCGTCAGCTTCCGCTGCGCGCGCCGCAGCGCCGACTCCAGCGCCTCGATCCGCTCCCTGTCCTGCCGGTGCTGGAGCTCGTGCAGCCTCCGCTCCAGCTCCGTCGCCGAGACTCCTCCCTCGTGCCGCCGCTCGCACGACTCGTCGCCGTCGTCGTCGTCGCTCTCGTCGACGACCACGGCGCCTCGCTGGGGATTCCCGCCGCCGGTGCCGAACCGCCCTCCCTCCAGCTCGATAAACTCGCCGTCGTCGTCGGACGACGACTGGACCGAACACTAAGCAAACGCCGCAAAGATCAGAGGATCAGAACGTGCCAGTTCATTCATTCCGACATAGACGCAACGCGAACAAAGGCTTGTACCTGATCAGGAGTGTCTTGCTCGGTGTCGCACTTGCACTCTGGCGGTTGGCGCCGTGCAGCCGGCTCTGTCTCGACCTCTGCTTCCGACGCCCGCTCCCCGTCCTCGCCGCGCCGGATCTCCAGGCAGTTGGTGGTGCTCGTGTCCGAGACGCAGCTCGACGACGCGGTGGTGGTGTTGGTCGACGACGACGACTGCAGGTTGTTGCAGGCTTTCGGCGTGACAAGGACGACGTGATCATCCGCGGCGCCGCCCTTCACCCTGCTAGCCTCGTCTCGGATCTCCTTGAGGAGCGTCTCCATCTGCGCGCGCACCTCGGCCATCCGGTTGAGCTCCACGCATATCCTCGCCAGGAGGAAGAGCATGCTTAGCCCCATACCGGTTTGTCCGGCCGCTACACAGCCGCCGCCGCTGCTTCCCGCCGCCGCCGCCGCCTGCTTCCATCCTGCGATATATATGGTGGCCGGGAGCAAGGCCTCAGGATCGATCGACTATACAACTAGACGACGCACGTGGAGGTTAAAACGAGAGAGTGAGTGAGTGACCGCGCGCGCGCGCACCTGAGGAGTCCACCGAGGCGTCCTCGCTCTTCTCCGTCGCGACGGCCTCCTTCCGGCCACCCTTACCGCCGCGCTTCCTGCCGAACCGGATCCTGGCGCAGGTGAACGTCGGGAGCCGCAGCCGCGGCGGCGTCTCCGGGGAAGGCGGCGAGGCCTCCTCGCCGTCCTCGCCTTCGCCGAGGTAGTCGTAGATCGTTCTCCTGTTCCTCGTGGGCGTCGTCGCCTCTGCTGCTTCCCCGATGTCGCCGTCGCCGGCGGAGGCCATCGCGCGCGCAGGAGCTCAGAGCACGAGACGCGCGCGTCGAAGTGGGCGTGTGGAGTGGATCGGCCGGAGTGGACAGAAGAGGGGCGGGGCGGCAACGGGGATGGCGCTAGTACGGTGGGGGCACGCGGCACGTCGTCGTGTTGCCGGACCGTGGTAGCTGCCCCAGAAAAAACATTCCATTTCCTATAGACGAAGGGGGGAAATCACCAGATTCCTCACTGTGGCTTTGCCTATTTCGATGTCAAGTCTTCTGGACCCATGCTAGATAGAGTAGGAGTCTAGGAGACTAGGAGTATTATGCATGCATGACATTGCGATTATCTTGACGGGACATTAACACAGGTGGATCAGCAGTGTTGTATCCAACTCGTACACTTGGGACGACTGGGAAGAAAAAGGACCATCATCAAGTGCAACATGGGGCCGTCTCAGTCTGTCTGGTGCATGTATAGTCATACGGTCTGCCAGCAACAGTCCACTCTCCAAATCATTGATCGATCGGCGACGCAGTGCTGGAGATTACGCGGGTACGTGAAAGCAACCCGCCCGGCTGGGGAGGCATGGGCCGATGGGCGTGAATGCTGCAAGTGTCAAGCGCCCCATCGTCAGCCATGGCCCCGTCCGTCCCAGCCGCCCCGCCAGCCGCCAGGGACCCCACGACAAGCCTAACCGTACCCCAGAGGCCAGAAGCAAGCAAGCGGCCAAGAACGCTGATTGATTTAAAAAATCCGGCCTGCTCGTCGGCTGACCGCCGGCCGGCCGCCAATGCAGGCGGAACGCGTCGGCGTCGGTGAGCTAGCTGCCAGCGTGCGCCAGGCGCGAGAGGTGGCCTTTTCGCTCGCGGAGTAGCTGCCGCTTCGCGTCATGAGGTAGCCACCAGCGATGGAGTGCATGGCTAGTGACTTGACGAGGGACTGATCGATCGATCGAGCACATCCGAGATCGATCTCGTCTGCTGCTGTGAACCGTGGACGGATTCGGGCCGGCCGGTCGCAGTCGGCTGGCGTGGAGGCTCTCCAAACGGTGCACTGGTCGGTCGGTCCCCATCGGGTCCCCTCGTCCCGACGAGCTCACTCGCCAGTAAACAGCATAAAGCCGGCGATCTCGCGCGAAGAAACGGCACACGACGTGGCACCTACTCATACATCAGCCTTTATTGCGTTCGTTCAGCAAAACTTCTCGGCTCTTTGATGATCTTAAAACAAATATTTGAATCGTGAACATCGCAGTGGTCGTGCCGGAGTGGTTATCGGGCATGACTAGAAATCATGTGGGCTTTGCCCGCGCAGGTTCGAATCCTGCCGACCACGATTTTTGTTCTCTTTTTCTTTACTTTTACTTTTTGGGCCCAGCCCACATTGCCCAACTACTTTGATCGTTGCCATCGAGAGACTGCTGGCCCGTAAGCTTCTTACCCGGTACACGGTCTTACTTGGGTTGATTCATTGCCATTGAACGACAGCTGGGCCGTAAGCTTCTTGCTCGACACAGGACCTTACTTGGGCTGATAGCCTCAGGTTGTAGCGGTCCTCAAATCAATTGTCGTCACTACTGATGAGCTGATGTTTACATCGGACAATTAGGACGCAGAGTCATCCCGAGGCCTCGTTGGGTTTTAGCGCGTATTTAGTTCTATCCCCAAATTTTCAATCTATCACATTAAATCTTGCGATACGTGCATGGAGCATTAAATGTAGACGAAAAAAAAACTAATTGCACAGTTTGGTTGAAAATTACGAGACGAACGTTTTGAGCCTAATTAGTCCATGATTGAACATTAATTGCCAAATAAAAACGAAAGTGCTACAGTAATCCAAATTCTCAAATTCACCCAAACTAAACACACGCTTAGAGGATGTGGGAGGGAATTGACAAGGACCGAGGAGATTTTATTTCTTATATATAAATTGAAATCTTCTTAATAATTCAGTCCTTCACACTGTTCGTTTGATCGTTTCATGTAGCTTATAAGCCGACTTATGTTATTTTGTTATGAGAGAAAAACATTATATCATGACTGATACGATCAAGCGAATAGAGCGCTTTTCTTTGGCACTGTTTTTTTTGTATAGCCTAAAATACTGGTATCATTTATTTGTCTCTCCAATCATTGACATAGAGGGCCCATGTGCCATCCTCTGCTCTTTTTCTTATTCATCCACTGATGTCAACTGCATGGGCCGAGAGCTAGATCCGGTTGTCGCTAGGCCGAGGGCGGCGAGCTTGGGGGTGACAAGCACGGACATGGATGTAGGGCCGCTGCTGGAAGAGCTACTGTGAGGCGGAGGCCGACAGCGCCGGTTGCCGGAGTAGAGGACGCCATGGAAGGCGAAGGAAGTGCATGCCGGAGGGGAGAAGATGGTGCCTCAGGCGCCAGTGCGGAGAAGGATGCCGTGAACGTCGGAGCCTGCCCGCCAGCTCCTTGGGCGCATGCTCGCCATGGGAGCTCGAGCTAGAACAAGGGAGACGAAGATGGATGGGGACGGGAAAAGGAAGGGGATGAGGCATGGCACCACTTTGTCAGTGTGGAAGAGAGGGGGCTAGCAAGGGTATTTCATGCCATAAAAAGATTGTATTAGCACGTACGCCTGCACGTGGGCCTGACGTAACTTAGAGACACGGAAATTATAGCATGGATCCAAATAACCCTAAAACAAATGGCCATATGAGTACTGGATGGTTGTGGAAGAGACGACAGATTACTGCAGATTAGACGGGCACGGGAGACTGCGTCGTACAACAGATGGGTGTGGGAGATGTTGAAAGTTTCTCAAAAGAAAAAAAAAATCTAGGCTCTGTTCGGCTGCTCGTAAAGCCATTTTGTTGATTTGTATGGTTGATTTGTTGGGAAAGAAAAATATTATACTATGGCTTATAAGTTGGCTTATAATGGCAGCTGAACACTCTAGGTTTGCATGGTGGTAGCATTTCAAGAAGTGGATTTTGAGAATGAACTATATAAAGAGAGAGAGAAATGTTTTTCACCATTTTTTTAACAGGTGGATTTTGAAAACCACAAGTTGTTATAGATCGATAGGGCGATATCTCTATCGTTTCGGGAATTGGATGTTGAGAATGAACTATAAATAAACTGAGCAAAATATGTTTTTGGTAGAAGTGGAGGCGACAACCACAGTCCACAGTGAAGCTGGTTTAGCCCGGCGGGGCAACGGAGACAGGAGAAAAGAGAAAAGAAGACAGTGCACAGCTGCACAAGAATATGTTTTTGGTCATTTTGAATCGCAAGTTAGGAAGCGGAGCTAAATGCGTTCCTACCCTTGATTCCCGATCATATGATTCCGATTATGAATGCGATGTCGTATAGCGTCAAAAACAAATGCCGGTCGGGGTCAGTGTCTGCGCTTCATCAGGCATTGCGGTTCCCGCGTAGTCAAACGTGGGCCGCTACTGGACGACTTGTACGCCCGAAAAGTTGCGGTCGTGCGCTTGACTGAATAAGCGTATCGTATGCAGTTCCGTATACGACCACGCGATTGTTCCATCTAAATCCAAAAACGAAGTGGACTGATTTTTCCAAAGAAGCTACTAACAATTTGCACGAAGAAAACGACGGGTACCAGACTAGAGTAACTGAATAAGCTAACCGCGTCATCTACTAGCCGACCACCACCATATACAGAATTTTCCAACCCTATATACGACAGGGAGCTCATCAGTATGAGTAGAAAACAAGTGAGCTACAACTTCACCGGCGCGCATGCCAACATGTCTGAGCAGGAGCAGGTCCCATGGGCTTGACCTGCCGCGGCCGCTGCCGATCGACGGATCGAGCGAGGTCCCCTCGTCGTCGCGTGCGGCCGGGTGGAATCCACTCGATCCAGCTGGGGCGTGCAGAAAATTGGTACACGGATTGCGGCGCGCGCACGGTTGGCCGACGACGGAGACGTAGATAGATTAATAAAGTGTTTGTCTAGCCAATAACCGGTTGGTTTAGTCTCTTCTATTGACTAAATTTTTTCTACGTACTTATACTATCTTATAACTATATTTACAACGACTTATTATTATATTTATAATAATTTTTTCAGTGTAATTTATTATACAGAGTGATGTAATTTGAGAATAGCATAAATATATGCTAAATTTTAAAAAAAAATACAAATTATTTCTATGGATTTCAGACACAAAGAAATATATATCAAATTGTTCACAAATTCTTCACCAAATTCAAAAAAATATACAAAATCCACACAAAACTGCTGCAACCGGAAGGGGCGGCACCGGGGATGCCCGTGCACATGCGTCTCCGGGCAAAACGAAACGGCGCCGGCCTCTCACGCAGAAAGAAACGGAGGGAGCAACGTCTCTGCTCCACTCTTGGTCAACCGGCATGGCCCCCACGATAGTCCCTCTCTCCTTTGCTCACGTACACGCTGCACTACTCGGCGGTGGACACGTAGCCTGGGTGAGCAGACCGCCAAGGCGGCTCCCTTGAGAGAAGCCGTGGGGAACGCCCGAATTTATCCTGTTGGTTCTCTATCGACGGCTGAGGGAGGAGGATTGAACGTTGTCCGATGGAAAAAAAAAACCGATTGAGAGATATCTCTAAATCAACCGGTTATCATTAACATTTCTCTTAATAAAAAACGAAGCCATACAGATACAGCAGCGTCCTGGCCGGTCAATCGATCGGCAAGCAGCAGTCTAGTGGGGCGGCGGAGTAGTCCGTCCGGTCGTCCACCGCCCCATGTTGTGGCAGGCCAGTCGTGCGGTGATCGCGACGGGCGGCGACCTCCGAACCTTCCCGTGAAAGACCTCTCTCTCTCTCTCTCTCTCTCTCGCTGGACGGACGGACGGACAGGCTGGATCGCGACAGAGTGAAGTGTGACAGACGACGGCACTCTCTGGATTTCTACGGTTGCCAGTCCAGTTCATTCCACCCGTTTTCCTCCTCACCGGCGCGCATGCCAGCATGTCTGAGCAGGAGCAGGAGCAGGTCCCATGCAACCGACCGATCGACAGATCGAAACCGCTGCCGACAGCCTCTCGTCCGTAGTTCGTTCCCCGCCCGTGATGGTATTTCTTTCTAGAGGCTAGGCTACTTATGACTCCAACTTGATTCGTTTGTTAACTTAAGGCCCTGTTTGGTTCAAGCTGAGCTAAAAGTTCTAGAAGCTGTCAGGGGATGCCAAAATCTCCTAAAAGAATGTTTGGTTCCATCTTCTAAAACTGACTAAAAGTAATAAATACACTACTACAAAAAAAAGACCATACAGCCCTCCTCCATACCCCTGCTCCTTCTCTGCTCCCATCGTGGCTGCGCCTCGCTCTGCTCTCCTCCTCGCCGCCTCGCTGGAGGTGGCCATCTCGACGGACGGGGCGGAGTGAAGAAGGACCCACCGTGCCGCCCATTTCGTCTTAGCCACGGCCTTCCCCTTGCCCCATCGGGGCCGGCGGATCCGGCATGGCGCGAGGGTCGAGGATGGAGAACGGCGGGAGGAGGTCGAGGGTGGCGGCGCGACTCGGGCCCCATGGCGGGGAGGGAGCGGAGGTACATGGAGGGTACATGAGTGAGCTAAAAGACCGCCGCCATCTCTGTGTCAAACAAGGAGCGGCGGATCCGCGTGAGGTGAGGCGGGCGAGGCGTTTGAGGTGGGGCGAGGCGGGAGGCGGGAGACGGATCCCGGAGGGTGCCACAAGGAGAGAGAGGGAGGTGGGAGGGAGAGAGGGAAGGGGCACATGAGGGCTAAAGGTGGAATTGGAGAGAGAGAGCGGAGGCTAAAGTTTTTGGCAATAAAATAGGAGCTTTTAGGAGAAGGTGTTTAGTTCTTTAGGGTGTGTTTAGTTGTAGGATTTGGATTTTGGATGGACATCAGAAGAGCTTTAAAGTTTGAGGGAGGATCTCGCAATTTCATCAAGTGCTTTTTTGGTAAATAGTTTTCAAACATGGGCTAATTAGGCTAAATTTTTTAGGAAGCTGTGCAATTAGTTTTCTTTTTCGCTCACATTTAATGCCGACTTTTAGGAGACATTGATTTGATTTTAGCAAATTTTAAAAGTTGGAGTTCAAGGGCTTAGTCAAATTCTATCCAGATTTTAGCTTCTAAAATTTCTAGGAGGGGTAACCAAGGCCCAGGCAGTGAAAGGTAGGAGGGGTAACCAAGGCCCAGGCAGTGAAAGGTGTGAGTGACTGTGAACTGACGATGGCTACCTGAACGAACGAGTGAGTGGCACAATGGCATGGTCGACGGCTGGTAATTGGTACCGATGCTAGCTAGCAACGCGCCTACGCCACCAGCACGGTGTGGGTGGCAGTGCTCCGACGGCACCGTGGCCGTGGGCGGAACGGAACGGGGGTAGTCGAAGCCGAGTCGTGGAGCGCCGGACCCGCCGGACCGACCGCACGTGTTTGACTAGCCACACAGGCCACAGCCCTGCCTGCCCAGGAGACCGGGCCACCGCCCGCCAGCCTTGCGTTTCCACCCAGCTTCCTTCTTCCCTCCCGCGGCGGTGCCGATGCGATGCACACAGCACAGTCAATGAAACGTCGCACGTGGGGCACGGCCAACCCCGGCAACCCGCGGGGACGAGGGACTTTCCTTGTGGTCTACCGTCTGTGCCCCGCAGCCCGCACCATCCCGCCGGGTCGCCTACTTTTCAAACCCAATTCTCGGCAAACTACTCTACTCTGCGTACGTACGCCCCATCTGTTTTGGATAAGGCCCAGCAGAGAGGAAGATCGCGCGCGTGCAAATGGTGGGTGGCCCACTGCTCAGTCGCGCCTACACAGGAGTAGGAGTATTATTCCTAATAAGTTACTAGTACTACTCCTATGAACTTTTCAAATTCAAATTCGTTTTTTAGGGAACCAAATTCAAATTCGTTATTTCTTAGTCTCGTGAAACATACTACTCCTGGGGAGTACGAGCGACCACGTTTAAATAAAATTCAAAACGGAGAAAAAATTGTAATGATTTCGTTTATCAATTGGATGAACAGTTCACCTACAGCTACAGCTACAACAGTACAAGGGATTGTACAATTTCATGTTGTTTTCCTGTGCTAGTATTTCGCATGTTACATCCGCCGTGACGTGATGATCTCTGCTCCACGCCATCGCCATGTGAAGCCGCGCGGACTCCGTTTCTTCCTCGTGCACAACTGCAGATCCTCATGTCGTCTTGTTCTGTTAACGCTGTTTCGCTCTAACAGTGATGAACAGAGGAGGCAGCCAGCGCAGTTGTTGACCATTGCCGCGTGCGCGCAACACAATCTGAGCAAGAATCTCGTGTGTGATGCCAATCGATCCGATCCGATCCGACACGTCTGTCAATCCTTGGTGGGCGACAGCTCGAGGATCCGGCCGGACAGCGCGGTGACGAGCGCCGCCTTGAAGCTGGGGTCCCGCGTCAACGTCATCGCCATCTGCTCCGCGAGGTTCCGCCGGATCATCTCCGACGCCGCCGCGGCCGCCGCGCCCACGGGCTGCTCGCCGTTCATCGCCACGGCGTCCCTGCTGCTGCTGCTGCTGCTGGTGATGGTGGAGCTGCAGCTGCGGGCGGTGCGGCGCCGGGGCGAGGGCAGCGGCCGGCCTCGGCGGCGACGGCGGCTTCGCGACGGCGGCGGCGTTCTTGCTGGCGCCCGCCGAGCCTGAGCCGTCGTGCGCTGCCTGCGCCTGCGACGGCGACGGCGCCGGCGGGGGCTGGCCGTGGTTGTGCTCGCCCTCGTACGTGGCCACGAGGATGGAGGTGTCGTCGGCGCTCCGCTGCACCTTCTTCTTGACGGGGCAGGCCGGGGCGAAGGAGCAGCGGAAGTAGGCCCTCGGGCACGGGTTGTCCTTGGTCACCTTCTGCCCGTACTTGCGCCACTGGTAGCCGTCCTTCACCACCAGGCTGAGGTCGGCGGGGTCGGCGTGCACGTACAGCTTCGACACCTTGGGCTTGCACTCCTCCCGGATCCGCTTGCACGGCTCGCCCGAGGTGCACTCCGTCTGGTCCGCCGGCACCGCCGGGTGCAGGTGCGGGTGCGGGCCAGGGTGCTGCGCGGCGGCGGCAGGCGCCGGCGCCGGCGCGGTGTCCATGCTCTCGCTCTTGCGCTTCCGCGACGGCGACACGGACCCGCCCTCCGACGTGGACGACGGGTTTCCGCCCGCGGTGGCCACCATCTCCGTGTACTGGCTCCGCAGCGCCTCGTACTTGGACGCCACCGCGGCCAGCGCCTCCGTCAGGCGCCGGTTCTCCTCGCTCATCCGCTGCAGCTCCGTCTCGAGAGCCGCGACCTGGGTCATCGTCGAATCAAACAATCCGTTAGACTCTTGGGCTCTTGGCTCGTCGTCGAACACAACACCCCCACACCAATTAAGCAAGAATGGATGGATATATATGTATACCTCTGGTTCTTTCTTTGGAGGCAGGAAGTTCTCCTCGACGAGCACCTTGGGCCTGGCCAAGGCGACGGCCATCGGCGCCTGGTGGAGGCTGAGCGGCGGCAGGCCGACGTGCAGGTCAAGGCTCAGAGAAGGCTGGCTGCTGATCCATGGGTCCATCTGCTGACTGCTTTTCCCCTCGAGATGTCCGAGCTAGCTAGACCGGGGTCCTGTAGAGCGCGGTCGACGGAGAAGAGAACTGAAGACTCGAGAGGGAAGAGGAAGAGGAAGAGGAAGAGGAAGAGGAGTAGAGATGCTTGAGCGTTCGAGTGGCGATGGCTCGGGACGGGGCGTGATATATAAAGAGCAGGGGGACTCGAGGATCAGGGAAGAATATCGAATGGTCCGTCGTCCGTCGTCCGGGCGGTCTCTGGCCTGTTCGCTTGGCTTGTAAATAAAGTATCGTTCGCTGATTAGCTGTGCGAGAAAAATATTATTACGGCTTATAAACAAGCGAACGGGCTCTCATCGGGAGAGCGAAGAAGAGGCTTCCCAGCAGTGCACGTCGCCATCACTCGCACACGCGCTTGTCCTCTTCTCTTTCTCTGGTCGCGCGGCGAATCAGCAGCTGAGCTGAGAGACCGCATAAACAAACAAGGGGCCGTGGAATTCGCGCACGCGAATGTGGTGGGGGAATACACTACTAGTAGAAGAATCGGCGACTGGGGCCGAAGGAGGACGAAGGGTGGAAGGGCAGTGGAGGTTGCCGCTGGACCAGGAGGAGACGTGACTGACTGTGATGGCGACTCGCGACTCGCGAGTGGGTGGGAGGGAGGCGGGTGACGGTGGTGACTGCTGGGTGAGCGGACCTTTGAGAAAGCATGTCGGCCTGCGGATGAACCGAGGGTGATGACGACGGTCGCCGGGTTGGGTGGTGGTGGCTCCCCAAGTCAAGAAAATACAGCACACATGCTTACAAAAGATCGGGGGAACGAATTGACAAAAGGGAGCGGTGCGGGCGCGGGGCCAATTGGTCGGAAATGCCCTTTGCGTTTGGGTTTTGGTTTTCCTGGTGACGAGTGACGACTTATTGACCGACCGGCCTTTTGGTCGGAGCCCAGTGGAGTGGAGTACTATAGCTTTTCGTTTCTTTTTTTTCGAACTATTTTCCTTTTAAAAAAAACTAGTTCATATATCTGTAGTGTGTACTAGTAGTAGCTCTAGTTTTGGTGACGCAAAGATTTGATTATACTTGATGGCTGGGGTTTCTTGCTTGGCGAGCTCCAAACTTTGTAATCGGCCTGTTCGCTGGTTGGTTTCTGAGTTGATAAGTTCGGCTGATGCTGGTTTATTGTGAGAAGAAAATACTGTTGGCTAACTAATAAGGCCTGACTGAAACCAACAAGCGAACAGGCTGATTAATGTTAATGGAATCAAAACCGGCCAACTGTCAAACAAGTAATACTCTCGCCATGCCTTTGCCTAATTCTGACCAAACATCCTTTCTCTGAACAGAATATGCAGACTCACTCACATAGTGCTCACCGCACGGGTCAATGCTGCACCATTTTTCTATGACCACCCTTGCCGAGGTTTAGGTCGCAACCAGAAGCTGTTCTTGACTGACGGCGCAGGCTCGTCGCTAATTAATTTCGTTTGGTTCCACCGTCTGAGTCACTGTCCCATCAAATATTTGCATGCATAGAGTATTAAATATAGATTATTTACGAAACTAAATACATAGGATGAGACGAATTTATTAAGCCTAATTAATCTGTTATTAGCATATATTTATCATAGCACCATATGCTAATAACAGATTAATTAGACTTAATAAATTCGTTTCGTGGATTACTAAGAACCTCTATATTTTATTTTTTTATTACTATCAAACATCCATACGATATGCAATATGACATTTGACATGATAACTTTTGAAATTTTAGTGCATGCATCCCAACACCTGGAGTACTTTCAGAGCGCGGCCAGGAGCTACTACTAGCTAAGAACCGGGTGAAAACGCTCTTTGTTTCGCGTGTTCAATGGACCTGGCCGGATGGTGAAGTGGTAGACTTGGGCGGAGAGAGAACGGGAAATCTATCTGCTGTCACGCCGCCGGTTTTGGAGCTCGCCAAGCAAGAAACCCCAGCCATCAAGGATAATCAAATCTTTGCGTCACCTAAACTAGAGCTACTACTAGTACACACTACAGATATATGAACTAGTTTAAAAAAAAAGGAAAACAGTTTGAAAAAAAAACGAAAAGCTGTCATATTTGCTTAGCTGATAAGTCATGATTGAAAATACCGTTGGTTGATTTGTTGTGAGAGAAAAATACTATTCGTTAGCTAAAATAATACGGCTTATAATTTGCGAGACGAATTTATTAAGCCTAATTAGTCAATGATTTGATAATGTGGTGCTACAGTAAACATGTGTTAATGCCAGATTAATTATGTTTAATAAATTTATCTTATAAATAACTTGTATAATTTATTTTTTTATTACTATCAAACACGTGTGATATCCGACGTATCATCTCTTAAATTTTAATCACGGTATCCAACACCTCCAGAATGTCAGTACTTCTAGAGTGCGGCCAGGAGCTACTACTTGCTAAAAGGACCGGGTGAAAACGCTCTTTGTTTCGCGCTGCGTCATAAGGTTGACTAAAAACTCGAAGCTCGTTGGGTCGGCTCGGCTCGTGGCTGGCTCGGTTTGGTTCGTGAGCTGAGTTAAGATTTTAGCTCGTTAGTTGAACGAGTTAGCTTCGAGACATTGAGCTGCTCGTTAGCTAAACGAGCCAAGCTTTTAGGGGCTTGTTTAGTTCTACCAAATTACCAGTGCACTACGCAAAAAGAAGCATATCAAACGTACATGCATGGAATACTAAATGTTCGAAATGAAAAAAAAACTAATCAAAATTTAGTTGTACTTTTTTGTATTAACTTTTTGAGTCTAATTAGTCAATGTTTGGACAATTATTACCAAATAAAAACAAAATGTACTGTAGCTACAATACCTATAAATTGGCGACGCCAAATTGACCAACTACGTGTCTAGGAAAAAAATGTATTTATATTAGTTTTATTATTATTCTTCTCACTTTTTACAATTAAATATCTGGTCTCAACCCTATAAATTATATTTAGATGTTTTATATTATTATTATTCTCAAACTTTAGATAAATGTAAATATTATATTTTGTGTATTTTTTATACCTGACTCGCGAGCTTAACGAGCCGACTCGAGTTTTTAACGAACCGAGCCGAGCTGGCTTTCTGGCTCGTTAGGCTAGCTCGTTATCTTAACTCAAAGAGCCAGAACGAGCCGAGCCGAGCCAGCTCGTTATCCAGACTTATGCGTGCGTGCACGCGTGTTCAGTGGACCTGGCCGGATGGTGAAGAGGTAGACTTGGGCGGAGAGAGAACGGGTAAAGCTCACGCAAAGGACCGGGCGTCTGGACCGGACCTGACGACCGCCCATATTTGCGCGACTCCGGGAAAATCTATCTGCTGTCTTCGTTCGCAAGGACCGCTGCATACAACGTCTCTGTTCGTTCCTTCTTCTTGCTCGATCGCCCAACAACTGGCCATGGCGTGTGGCTAAAGGTTTCGTCTCGAAGTGGTAAACGTTACTAACAAGTTGAGCTAGCTGATCCATCCCGGAGTTCAATCTCAGTTTATATTGGAAGTAAAGTTTTCTCGTTCGTTCCGTCATTAAAAATAGTGGACTGAGAACGAAACAGATCGAAGCAGCCAGCAGTCTCCCACTGGAAGTCAGCAATCTCTCCTCTGGAAGTCCAGAACTTTTATTTATTTATACTCCTGCTACTGTGCTACAAGAGAAAACGGTGTTGCACAACGCGACGTCCCTGTCACGACACAATTTGGGCACATGTGAACCCACGGGGCGCCGCAATCCATTGCGGCCGGGTCGTGAGGCAGGCCCGGCGGCCCGGGCACCACAGTAGTATCGTGGCATCACGGACCGTCTGCTCGTGGCGGGGAGGAACAGCAGTTAATGTGACGAGAGACTTTGCACAGCCGGCATCCATCTCCAACGCATTATCGTGTCGTGAGGAGCTAGCTAGGACTAGGACCTACCAGGAGGAGAAGAACCTGGACTAGCTAGCTAGCTCTAGCTAGAAGGTCCAAGTTTTGGTCTAGACTATCCTGTGTTCGCCGGCCGGTATCACGTCCTACTTCACGTCCAGGTCCAGACGTCCAGTACAGCTCTGTCGCTGACCATAATACGCATTTTATTATTAGTAGTAACCTGAATCGTTGATCGTCGACATGGATTGTACTGGAATACGTTCACATAGGAGTATATTCCTACTGGTAGCAAGTATAGAGATTCAGGTACGTATGCCTTCCATGGCTGTATTAATTAACTCAACGGATATGATATGATAATATAATACTATAATTTAAACCAGAGAAACGATGTGCCACAACAGTATAGCAGTACCATAGAATTAGACTACACAGTATCATAATTTGTGGAGTCAGTGAGTGCCGCGGAAAAGAATTCTGAGGGGAAGTCCGCTTGGAGTTTTGATTTCTCGATCGAACGGGGGGGAAGTCCGCTTGGCTTTCCATTTCTTGACGAACGGGACAGGACAGCCCAGCTCCAGCTTTCATGCGGCTGGCCACGGTCAAGGTATGGCTGGAAACCGGAGGCACCAACAGTGACTGGTAGCTACTGTTCCAAAGCTCAGTACTACTTGTAGTTGCAGTCGTAGCTATACATCTACATCGGTACCTAGCGCCCACTTGCAGAAGATGGACTGAGAGGAACACTTGCTACACGGTCATCGTTGTAGTTATTACTGCTATCTTGGACTAGGGCACCAGCAGTGTATAACACTTTGCTACGAACGATTAGGTCATCGTTATAATACCAGCAATTATAGGATCGGGGTTGCTATCTTTGAGCATTATAAGAGAAAAACAACTGAGTCCAAGTTTGGGCTATACGATAAGAAAATTCGCATATATGCCAGGTCGATCTTCGCATTTATTGCATCGGACCGGGATAGGAGCGCACACTGCGGACGCTCTTATAAGAGCAAGTCCAACTGAGCTATACAAATTCGCATATATGAGCTTATACTCTCCCCGTTTAAAAATATTTAATCATTAAGTGTTTGTAACATATATTCGTTAATTTCGTATCCAGGTAAAAAAAGATCCCTCCTACACTCAAAATTTATGAGTATGTTATAAGAAAAATTCGGATGTTTTAGAGAAGTTTCACATTCGAACTAAAAATGTTGTAAGAATCAGGTGAAATATTAGAGAATTGCTATCACATAGGCGCCTTTTTTTCCAAAAAAATCAGTTGACATTTGCTTTCTTCTTCCTTCCGCCGGCTCAGCAGCAAAGCAGTGGACAGCTCCGAACTCGTCGCCTGAGATACGTTGTGTATATATAAGTGCGGAACAGAGAATTATGTAGAAAAGTCAAAATGTATTATAATTTGGACCGGAGGAATTAGGCTAATTTCATAAGCTGTCTAGACACAGTTATTCCAGGTTAGTGTAATCTCACGAACGGTTTACGTACCTAAAATGATTCGGTGGTTCCTTGGATCCGCGCCGCGGAGAGAAAAGCTTTGCTCGCCGTGCAGGACACGCGGCGTCGTCCTTGGCCGAGCAGAGAGTGGATTCCACGTGACGCGCATGGTCCCGCTGGCTTGCCCTCCACTCTCCCGGTCTCTCCGGTCCGGGTCGCCGCCGCCCGCCGAGCACTGAGCAGGGATGAGCACCCGGCCCAGACCCACGTGTCGAACGACGGGAGCAAGGCGACACCACGACAGGTTCCGGCGGGGCCCTCCCTTTTGACGCCGCCCTCCGCTCATCAAAGACCTCAAAGTTGTGGGCGGCGTCGGCGCTGGAACTTGACCGCGGCGCCGGAACCGGAACCAACTTTTCGAGCCAGCCTCCGCCCCTTTTGCATCGAATCGCATCATCGCTTGCGTCAGTCGTCCCGGTTCGTTCGTGCTCGTGCGTAGATGTATTACGGTATCCTGTCCTGTCCGTGGACCGTATCCAGCTGGCACACGGTACACGGATGCTGGATGCATGCAGGGTCGCGTGGATATATGATGATGGAGAACTGGAGATGACGGTGTTAGTATAGTAATATACTCCTATATTGGAACATTATATGGCATGAATTATTAGCGGTCTATTTGCGCTGGGGATTCAAGGATCGATCACGCGATCAGTCGAGTCAGTCGGCTAACAGCTGCCGCTGGGCCCATTCACTTCAACTTATCAGCTAAAATTTACAGTATTTTTCTCTCGCAACGAATTTGCTTCAACCGGCTTATGAGCCATATCAGCCGAACAGGCCAATGGATGACGACGACCCGGAACAAACTTGTCACGTTGCAGTTACAGCAAATTAAAGTGTGATGCAGAGGGACGCCATGGCGCGGAACGCTAGGGTTATGTGCTCCCAGGACCAGTGCTCCAGAGGGAAGTCGTAGGCAGCCACCTCGATGAGCAGACGGTAGGGGGAGGTGTAGCGGAAAGTCGGCCTCCTAGTGGTGCTATAGGACCAGCATGGTGTCCCCCATCCGGATAGGGGAGTGGCAGATCGCGTCCTCCCTAAAGTAGGGATCCCGGAACACCACATTCATGGTGCCACGGTAGGAGGCCGCCAAGGAGAAGGGAGGGTCCCCACCATGGCGTTCGAGAGCCAGGCGGATAAAAAGGCCCAGGTCGACCTGGGCTGGCTCGACGTAGGCGTAGGCGAAGCAGCGGTTGGGGGTCATGTCGACAAAAGGCATGTGAACCTCGATGAAGCCATTGTTGGACGAGGTGGACCCGGCAGCCAGGAGAGGGGACCCGTCGCCACCAAAGTGGAACGGGGTGGGCTCGCGCCTCGTGGCGGGGCGAGGAATGCTCAGCCCAGAGCGCTCGTTGTCGAGGAAGCGGACCACCGGCGAACGGGTGCGGTCGCACCTCTCCGCAGGTGAGGAGTGGGAGGGGGACCCCCTGGCAGGGGGGAGGGAGCCCGAGCGCGGAGACGGCGGTCCACCAGGGGGGACTGCCAGGCACCATGGCCCTGGCCAGTCCAACTAGCCGTCAAGGTCGGGGCAGCAGGGCGACGGGGAGGGGAACCACCAGCGGAACGCCCAGGGGGCAGGAAGTGGGAGCCGGCCATGGTGCAGCGAAAAGCTTTGGTGGCCGATGCATAGGCAAACCCGGCACACCACCGGATCAAGACAGTCGGCGACAAGGTGGTCCAAAGAAAGGCAGCGGAAGCAGTGGCTACTAGAGGGCGGGAGCGAATTGCTACGACGTCGACGGTGGCCAGCAGCGGTATAAATAGGCCGAGGGGAAGGAGAAAGAAGGGCGGCCAGGTACGAGGTGGGAGCGCCCTCGCCATGGCGTGGAGGAGTGGCAGCATGAGCTCGGGGGGGAAGTACTACGACACGGACTCGCCGGAATTGAAAAGGGCGGGCGTACCTCCGCCGTGACGGGGTTGGGATGGGGTGCGGCTAGGTGGTGGCGTCTGAGTGGCCGCCCTGAGGGTGGTTGAGGGAGCTCCACTCCAAGGGATGTTGCCAAGGACGGAGGCGTGGGGAACAGTAGCCCGCTACGGCGGTGAGGAGGGGAGGGCGGAGTGGGCGGCGTGCTGCGGCATGTGAACAGCGAAGGTCGTTTCCGAGGTCGACCGGCTAGTAGGGGAGTAGGTAGGTGACGCACTGACCTTATCCTCGTGGGGAGAGGTCACTAGGGTGGGCCGGTCGGCAGTGACCCGCACCGAGGCCAGGGCTAGCCCAGGTTGAGTAGTGGGCTGTTCGACGGAGCAACCGGAGGGATTGCCAGGCCCATCCCGCCAAAACGCGCATTGGTTGTTTGAAAAAATAGCTGGGTGGCCATCCCGCCCGGTGTCGACGGCAACGACGCTGGCCACCGTGGAGGCGCGGTCAGGGAAGAGGTCCAGGCGGAGATCGCCGAGACGGCAATGGTCGGCGGTGACAATAAGGTTGGCGACATTCTGGTTACGCGCAGCCGCCCGGAAGATACCAGGGGTGACCTTGGCAACGGCGAAGTGGGCGGGGGAGCCGAGAACGCGAAATTCAACGCATTGGTGACCATGGAGCGAGAAACCTCCCGCCCGTGGTCCTTGCAAGAGACCCAAAAGATCGCGGCTTCATCGGACTCGAAAGAGCGAGCAGCCGTGGAATCAAGATGGAGAGCAGAGAGGACGAGGTCGCGGAAGAGGGCACCTGGAGTGGTGAGGGTGGTCCAACCACCAGCTGGGAGGAGGTGCGAGTCGGGGGGAAGCAGGTCGCGCGGTGCCACCCTGTGCCGTCCCACCTTGGTGGGATGGTCCGGTCCTGGGGTCGTAGTCATCTCCCAGCCAGTTCCATCGCGTCACGTCTTTCACCAGCCTACTGCTGCTGCCGCCAGTGCCTCGTTACCCGCCCGATCGTTAGCGCTGATGCATGCTTCAGGAAGGAAAACTGATGACTGATGAGCCGTGCGGGCAGGGAAGACGGGGTGGAGCATCAGCCTGCGGCGCACGCGTACACACCGGACGGAGACGGACCACGCTGGTGCATGGCGGCATCTGCATCTGCATGCGGATACGGGCGTCGATCCCCGGGCCCCGGCCCTGTCCCCTTCCCCCGTCCCTCCCCTCGTGTCAATATTGCAGGCTGCAGCTGTAGTCCCCTGATCGGAGCTGAGATTCGGAAACAGTCACGTCGCCGCATAGTCGCATGTGCGTCGAGTGGGACGGCAAGTTGGGAACGGAAGAAACCACAGGCGACGTCGTCACCCGTGATCGAGCGTGACCCGTAAAGGCCAAAGGTCGCCTTGGATTTCCGTCCCAGTGTCGCAGGCTCTCCCAGCAAGCATAGAAAGAGAAGGAAAAAAAGAAGAAGTTCAAGCTGTCTGTGAATTTTCGAAATAGTACTGCCCTTTTTATGTTTAAGAGCGAGTTGAGCAGTAAAATAGAAATAAGAGCTGCTAAAGCAATCTACCTGTTCATTTGGTTGGTTTACTAATGATAAACCCGACGTGGTCTTTGGTTTGTTATGAGAGAAAAACAACGTTAATCGATCGATAAGTTCTCGATCGAAACCATCCAAATGAACGGGCTGAATATCTTTTTCTTAAAATTCCTACTATGCTAGTTTTAAAAAGGCATATACACTCAGATAATGCAAGAGTTTCCCACTACCAAGTAAGCTCTTTCTACTTGTTCACCTGTGCATTATGGATGAAAACTACCTGTCTTTGTTTGGCTACCTTTTTGATTGGCTAGTGTGATTTTATACTACCGGTAGGTGGTGTGTCTCTGGTATCCAGGAGATTCCGTGCTGCATCATATAGACCTTGTGCAATCTATCTTCGCGTGGAAATTTTCTCGCAACCCAGAGGGCCCAAAAAAAAAACCCAGGTTACACCAACTTTTCCTAGCTAACCCGATTATCCTAGATTAGTTTTGTGCATGACCTCACGTGGACATATATGATTATGATTGTATATGAAATGCAAGACTCCCCAACCACCCACTGCCTTTTCTGATTCCCTTGCGTCTACATGCTCCAATCAAATTCGCAAGTTGCCGCGTGGTCTACAGTATAATTTTGCTTTGCACCTGCTTTTCTGTACTGTACTGAGCACAAATTGTTGTTGGGCTTGGGCCTAGAATACTCGTAGCAGACAGGGGCGAAGCTGTGTAGTATTGACTAGGGGTGCACATGCACCCCTTAAAATTTTAAAAATCAGTTATAATGACTAAATTTTCACCATATATATACCCCTTCATGGCGTAAGTCTATGCACCATCCCGACGTCCAGGCCCAAGTGCACGACGAGGTGAAGAACGCACCGGGCGGCGACCTCCAGCAGTCGATGTTGTATACCTCAAGGCCGTTGTGCTCGAGGGCCCGCGACTGCACCCGCTAGGCCACTTCGTCCTGCCACACGGCGTGTGGGGCGACGCGGAGATCGGCGGCTACACCGTGCCTAAGGGCGCAGAGGTGAACTTCTTGGTGGCCGAGATGGGCCGTGACGAGGCGGTGTGGATGGCAGCGCACGAGTTCTAGCCGGAGAGGTTCGTGGACGGTGGCGAAGGGCGCGACGTCGACATCACGGAGACCAAGGAGATCAAGAGAAAACACAGGTTGCATGCTGCCGATCAGAAGACTTGAAGACGACGGGTCAGCGTCATGTCCTCTCGGCCGATGTGAAAGAAGCCGCCTTGTGTGTAGGGGGTGGGGGTGCACGTGCACCCCAAAAAATGTAAAAATAGTGAGTTTGATTAGAATTTCACCATATATGCACCCGGCTATGAGACATGTCTCTGCACCTACTCCTCTAACTTGCTCTAGCTTCGCCACCGGCAGAAGAAGGTGGTAGTACATGTACCGGCCTCGTCAAGTGGAGATCTCTCATCTGCTGGTGCATGACGACACGACTCCTCCCTCCTTCAAGCAGTGGCGAAGCTAGAGCTCAAACAAGGGGTGCGACACTTCACTAGTGACCTGTTCGACACGCCTCTAAAAAGATGCTGCTCCTTACAATCATGCCTCTAAAAAGCCACGGCTCATTACAATCACGCTCTAAAAAACTACGGCTCCTTACAATAATGCAGCTGGAGCTGGTGAAGCTAAAAATCATGGTTTGACTGGCTCTTAGTTCATTTTGATAAAAGAGATAAAAACGTTATAGTTATTACTATAACATATGAGGGAGTTGGTCGGAGCTCCACCAAATAGGGTTTTAACATTGATTTGCAAATTTTACGTGGTAAATTCAATTTTTTCTAAGACAATATACATGCTTCTACACAAATTTATATATATAATGGGTTTCGTAAGCCTAGATAAACATTTATCTCAAATCTGTGCATAGATTCAATATAGGAAATCACTCAGACCTTTGTAGAGATTGGGTATACTGAAATTAGATGCTATCGATTATTTGACACTTAATTATACGACATTAGTAATTCAAATGACGTACTACTATGGTCAACTAATTTTAATTCCTAAACTCTTATTGAAGTCTATAGTTTGACAAATCAAGCCTATATACATTAGGAGCTCCTAATTATGAAATAATGAAAAATCTTGCAATACAAGTCTGACCATGGGGTATATAGGACAGAGGCGATTAGCAAGAAAGCAATAATTATAAATTTATGTGTCGTTTGGTATTGGTATTGGTTTGCTCGAGCTTTCATGCTTCCACGTCGGACCATGGGGGTGCATGGTCCTAGGTTGGGGGGTGCACATATGGTGAATCCATGCAGCTTCGCCCCCTACTTGCAGCAAAGACGTGGAACATGTGCTTTGCATCCCATGAGTATCCCGTCAGCTAAATTTCGTGGTTCAAACTCGTTTAATATATGCGTTGTTCTTCGATTATTTGTTTTGCTTTATGGGTACTTGCTCCTACGCGCACTGTTATTAAGAAAATGAGCCTACTAGACTAAGATTCCGCTCAACAACAAAGGATAAGTTGTTGGTTCTCAACTTCTCATGTGCTTTCGCATTGGATTGATCATTGATGCAGACTGTGTCGCTCTAGTTGCTTGGTATTCCCCAGATAGATATACAAATATGATGCTGTACGTGCAGTGATGGGCTGATGGCCAAAGCCCTTTGTGAAATCCAAACCTACGAATTAAATTCGATTCTGGAATCTGGACTAGACCTCAAACGTTTTCAACATGTACGGTTTACGCCCTCACTCGTTGGACTCGTTATTTTTTAAAAACAAATAATGGACTCCATTCCAATCCAAACGATCAATTTCGGGTGAGATGCTGGACACCACGATGCTTGGTGGGAGGGGCAGATGATCAGGTGAGCCCGAAGTATTATTCAAATTCAAGCCGCGACGTCCTGTTGTTCTTCCTCGCAGTTTGCATCTTGATTTGCCGTCTCTAAAAGAATGAAAGCCAATTAGGCCCCGTTTAGTTCCAAGCAAAAAACAAAAATTTTTTAAGATTTCTCGTCACATCAAATTTTGCGGCACATACATGGAGTACTAAATATAGATGAAAAAAAAACTAATTACACAGTTAGCCGAGAAATCGTGAGACGAATCTTTTAAGCCTAAATAGTCCATAATTGGACTATTTTTACCAAATAAAAACGAAAATGCTACCGTAGCCAAAAACCAAAAATTTTCGGAACTAAACGGGGCCTTAGCCAAAATGAGTTGGGGCTCCCTCAGGGAAAAAAAAAGTTCTTCGAAATAAAGGACACGATAGCTGCACGTGGGACATGTCGATGTCGGCACGCGGACGCATTATTCAGAGATGTGTGCAGTCGTGCTCCTGCAGGTCAAGACTACTCCAACTGTTCCTTACGAAAGGCCACGTTTAGTTCGTGAATTTTTTAAGTTTTGTAACGATAGTATTTTCGTTTGTATTTGGTGATTAATGTCTAATCATGGGATAATTAGGTTCGAAAGTTTTGTCTCGCGATTTCTCACCCAATTGTGTAATTAATTTTTTTTCATTTACATTTAATACTCCATACATGCGTCAAAAATTCGATGTGACGGGCAAAAACCAAAAAAATTTAGAACTAAACGTGGCCTAAGTGTGTGCGTCAGTGCGGGAGCGTGGTCCGGGCACTCGGGCAGCAGGGTGCCAGGGTCACCCCTCACCCGGCCGGCTGGGTCTCGGCGCGTCCACGCCAGAAAAACGCCATCGAGACGCGCGCGCGTGTTCCACTGGCTTCTGACTAATTAAGCACGTCGTCCGGGCAGGTTGCAAGCATTGCATCAGACCGTGCGTGTGCGTGTCGGCACGGACAAGGCGCGCAGAGTCCACGCGACCCGGCCCCGCCGACGCCGACGCCGACGTACACGACGCGATGGCGTCGTCCAGTCCTGATCCTCATCCAGTCATCCTCCTGGATTTTTTTTTTAATTTTAACACTTTTTATAAACTAATTTTAAATATGACACTGTTTTATTTTTTTCTTCCAAAACCAATATTTTTGTCCGCGTCTATTTCTCTGGCGTGGCGAAACGCCTGTGTCGCGCCATGCATGGTGGCGCGGCGAGATGGATGACGTGGTGACGACCAAGACGCTGTCCAGTGATGTGGCAGGGTCTGCTGCACCACCGATCTTGGCGCGGCGGTGACGCGCCACGCATTATGGCGCGGCAGTGACACGCCACCGCCCAGGGCGCGGCAGAGCCGGCTAAAGGCCCGCGGCCTAGTCCCACCGCGCCACGCCTCGCCACCGCCCACCGCACGCGCCGCGCCGCCACGCCGCTTGCCGCGCCGCGGCCACACCCGCCGCCGCCTGGCCTTTGCCGCAATGCCGTCGCCGCCGCCGCCGCCGCCGCGCCCGACCAAGACGCGCCGCCATGCGCCACGGCCACCCTCCGCCGCCGCCCACCGCCACACCCTCCCACCGCCTCACCAAGCGCCCACCATCGCCTCACCGCCGTGTGTTGCCGTCCTCATTGCTTGAGTCCATACATAGAAGTTGTTTATTT